TGAGATCGTGGAAGCATTATGATATAACCGAAATCAGTTGCAAAGAGGATTCATTGTGCAGAAGCGGAATTGAAATTCTTGAAACAAGAATAAAGTTAAAAGGCTAGAAACCATGTAGGGAATAATTTTATTGCATTGAATTGATAATTGAGAAGTGTACAAAGCCTTCATCTATATAGAGGCAAAATTTCCGTAATCTTATTAATATAAGGAAACTAAAATAAATTCCTAAAAGAAAAGAAAACTAAAATCATAATATAAAAGAAAGAAGAAACCATATTCTAATCAATAAAGATAATAAATTCTATTCTAAATAACAAAGAAAAAGAAAAACCAATCCTATTTGGAATGGGATTGTCCTACACCAATGCAATTGCATCATGAGATAATAAAATAGTCAGACTGAAGGAGCAACGAAGGAATAGGGGTGGCCTTTCTTCCATATGTAAATGATATTTCAAAATATGATTCCAGCCACTGAAAAATATATGCACTATGCAGCAAGCATAAGTGGCCAAGTCACATTTATAATTAAATATTTGAAAAAAAAAATTACTTGTCCTCCTGCAGTAGCTTAATCCGATGCTCCATTTCTGCCGTGCTAAGCTGTTCATCCTGGAGAGGAGCAGCAGGCTTTTCAGACGTAGCTTTTCCAGTTTCTCCATGAACTGCGATAGCTGCAGCTGTTCACAAGTCACCAGATACAACATTGTTAGTTACATTAGCCCCTTCCTTCCCCGAGAACATAAACGTGAAAAAACCATCCAATATAGATACACTATGTTCCATAATCAACAAGTTCAGCAGACTGGCGGTTCATTGAGAAATGTAAATCATAATAATTTTTTTATATAATTTGATTATAATTTTTAAAAAGTGAAGTCATAACATAAGATTAAAATGTGTTAAATGAGATATAATAATGTTACTAGTAATAATAACTCAAACATTCGTGCTTTTGTTTTTGCCTATGTTGCTCGGACTCGGGTACGGGTATCGGATACGGGTACGTATCTAAGTGTCGGATCCTTTATTTTGTAAAATGTGGGATACGGGGACATAGTTGATAAGAGTCCAAATTTCGGACACGGGTACGTGGGTACGTCTTTCAAATTTCAATTTTATTTGTACTTTGATATTACAATATTTTTCGAATTAAAAATGATGAATTGAAAAAAAATAATAAAAAAGATGATTAAATGTATTATTTGAATATTTTATTAAACTAAAAAATGTGTGGTGTAAAAACAATTTCATTATTAGTCCATTCATATTCATATTAAAAATAGCCCAAACTCCAATTAAATTCATCCATATTCATATTATTAAGCCCACACATATCCAGCCCAATAAAAATGGCTCAGCCTCCAATTAAACCCAAATCTCTTCTCTCCTTCCCGGTCATCATCTTCTTCTTCTGTTCTTCACGATTTTGGGACAGCCGGCGCCGATCTGTTGTTTCTTCACCAAGGACCGCCGACGCCAACCTGCCATTTCTTTACAGAGACCTTCCATCTACAGCTAGACCGTCGCTAAGGTAAATCTACAAATTTTCCAAAAATTTCTTGCCGAGTCCGAGTGAAAGTTTAAGAATCGGACCTGTATTCCGTACCGGTACCCGTGTCGTGTCGTGTCGACACGTGTACTCCAGCCAAAATGGAGAGTCCGAGCAACATAGGTTTTTGCAAACCAAATTAGAAATATATTATAAGTTACTCAGCTTTCAAATTCCCCTTATCATTAGTCAAGGGATTTCATTCATTATGAGTTTTGATTTGAATTTAATCTCCAAAAGGTAAATAATGATCAATAATGTGACCATCATAGAATAAGAAAATTATTTATTTGTACTTCTCCAAACAGTTGATAGAGTGATTAATTCAGAAAAGATTATCCAAATACATATTGTAGTTAAGGAGGCCATGCACTACTAATAAGCAGCCTACAAGTGCTAAAAATGTAACCTGGAGGTTCCAGGTTCGAAACTTCATAGAGCTGCATTTTTAAATTTTTAAGAAACCGATTCAATTCATGAAATTGTGTATGCAATTAAACTCGAAGGGTTCTTCCCAATTCAACCAGGTTTAAATCACATGAAGCTTGATAAAATCCTAGTTCACCAAAAGGAAGTGAATACCCATTGACTGTAATGATGACTTACCCACAAATTCTCGGCAAATATCACGATCAGCAAAACTATCAAACTCAAATATATAATTTCCACCCTGAAACAATGCAGAACTAAGCTTGTTAATTTCACAGAAACTAAGCAGCAGCAGAGAATACGTTGCTCGTGTTGAAAGATATTGAGGAAAGTTTTGCAGCACGTATCAGCTTAGTCCATCACTGCAAACCTGGTCTTGAGTAAGATTAAGAAGGGCCTGTTTACTGGAACCCTCCTTGGTAAATTTATGCCCTGAAAAATGGAGATAAATGCAAAGACGTCAACAAAAGCTCTACAAAAGAAATACAATAAACTGATAAAGAGACTGAATTATAAAGATGGAATGTAGACACTTTAGAAGACTAGTCTTATTTCCTCTTTTGTCGGCTTGCTGTTGGCTTTTAGGGTGGTTGTGGAGTACACGAGAGATCAGTTAAAATAGCAAAATTACGTTTACAATGAAATAGACACACCGCACTGAACTACATTAGTTACTGGAACTTTTTTATTTCAAATAACATCAACTGCAACCCTCAACTCGTGGAAATATAATTAAGAAGAATCTATGTGTATCCCCGTAGAGAAGGAAGGACTTGAGGGAAAAAAAAGCACCTTTAATCATCCTAAACTCCACATTTAGCTTTCTGGGTGAATTTGGATCATTTGGTATAAAAACAAATCTTTCCCTGTTCTGTAACAAGCAACAGGAAAAAATAAAAAATAAAAACAGATTAGTCAATAAGCTGCATTTTTGTAGTAATTAATAGCTCCTGTTTCTTAATTATAATCCATCAATCACCAAATAGACGTCATCACAGCTCGGTCATTTTAACAATTAACACAAAAAGTTAAAAAATGAAAAAGAAAAAAAGAAAGCTAAATTTGATTGAACAGCTCAACATCATTGATCTGTCCAGCAGATTATAGCCCAACAAAATACTTCAGGAGATAAAAGCCATACTGATATCGAAGATAAGGGGGACGCTAAAACGCCGATATAAGAATGCGATTGCTCGGATTATTACCATTTTAAGGGAGCCAGGAAGACCGGGGTCCTTGACCGATGACTTGTACTTGGCACGCTTCATCACCTGCCCATCCGCCATGTTTGATAGCACAAGTATAGGCAAATAATAACAAAAATATTCAAATCGGTACTGAATTAATCTATTCGAATAGTGTAATTATCCCGTTTATAATGAATTCAAATAATTTAGGACAACACGGAATCAATTTGAATCGGCTTGGCTCCGAGACATGCACGTAGAGATCTAGGGTTTTAGAGTGAAGTACAAAAATCTTTCTCTGGCTGGCGTTGAGGGCGCCAACTGGGAGGGGAGAAACACCATTGATCCGCGTGTAATGACTCGGGTGCTTGGGCGGGGCTATCAATCAGGGCAAAATCGAAGCGTTCTAATTCTCATAATTTCTAGGTGGATGCCGTATAAAATTAAAAAGTGGTTTTTTTTTTAATAGGATATTGTTAAAAGCTTCTTTCGGAATTCGGAGGAAGTTTTGGAGGAAGAATTGATTTTTGAATAGTGATATGATGGAAAATGTATGGTTGAAAAAGAAAAAAAAATTATTGATGTGACGAAAAATATTATTTTATTGAAAAATGTGCGATTGAAAATGA